CCCTGATCGCCAGCCAGGCCTAGGGACACTACCTGTGCATGAATTTAATTCACTGAACCTCTAGTTAATTTATAGTCCTCTATAGCTAAAAGCTAAATCCAAAAAGGTTAAAAAAGAAGTAAAGAACATTGAAAAGAACAAAGTAGGTAAATCTACTTTTCCTACCACAGGCAGTCCTTTGCAGAAGGGGCTAGAACACTCAGATTCTCTTTCTTTGATAAAACAGTGCCACTAACTGAATATATTAAGATGCATTAAAAGTTTCAAAAAAAGATGAGTTCACCTTTCCTACACAAGCCCAGAAATTTCTTCACAGCATTATTGCCCTTTTCCTCATCATCTACCTTCAAAGTTCATTTCAAGTCAATGTCCAATATAGTTCTCAATATATAATTCTCACAAAGACAATTTCTTGTTAGTCACCCTATGTGGTGGGTTGGGCTAAGATTCAGAATTCTCAGGGGACTATCTCCTAAGGCAGTGATGGTGAACCTTTTGAGCTCGGCGTGTCAGCATTTTGAAAAACCCTAACTTAACTCTGGTGCCGTGTCACATATAGAAATTTTTTGATATTTGCAACCATAGTAAAACAAAGACTTATATTTTTGATATTTATTTTATATATTTAAATGCCATTTAACAAAGAAAAATCAACCAAAAAAATGAGTTCGTGTGTCACCTCTGACACGCGTGTCATAGGTTCTCCATCACTGTCCTAAGGGATAGTCCCTCTCAGTAACATTCTGATCCCATCTTTCCTCTTAGTTTTGCTAATGATATTGGGGGATAATTCAGGAAATACCAACAACATGTCTAGTCTGATACAGGTGAAAAACTTTCTAGAACCACATTATAAATAATTTATCCAGAAAAGAAAGATTTGAGGGAAGAGGTTAAATGAAACCACACAATATTTCTGATATTAAATCTAAACTTATACATGGTCACCTTTAAATATAAAGCTGTAACTGCACAAGTTGATTCTACAATGAGCCAAATAGCTAAGGTTAGCTATGGATGAATTTGATCAGGTCAACTGGCCCATTACTAGGAAAGTGAAGATATTTATTACAGAATATCTAATTACTCAGTTAACAGTTATTTACTGAGCACCAACTAGATGATTAACAATGTGGAGGATATAAAGATGATACAGATACAGATTCTACCTCAAATTATGTACTGTTACATAGAAATGATAAATACATGTGATTCTAAATAAAAAGCAGAAAGTGCCATAAGAGAAGTACAGATAAAGAGCCATAGTAGTCAAAGAAGGGAGAACTACTCCAACTTGGTGAGGGATATAAGCTGGGCCTTAAAAGAAAGATGGGGAGGATTTGACAATAGGCAGAAGCAAAGACATAACAAAGCTTACAGAAATGAACAGTCGAGGTTGAGTAAAGGACAGTAAATAAGAGAAACAATTATTTCACTTTGTAAGGAGGATTAGGTAAACAAAGAACAGTAGAAAAATGAGGTTATAGCCGAAACCGGTTTGGCTCAGTGGATAGAGCGTCGGCCTGCGGACTGAAAGGCCCCGGGTTCGATTCCGGTCAAGGGCATGTACCTGGGTTGCGGGCACATCCCCAGTAGGAGATGTGCAGGAGGCAGCTGATCGATGTTTCTCTCTCATCGATGTTTCTAACTCTCTATCTCTCTCCCTTCCTCTCTGTAAAAAATTAATAAAATATATTTTTTAAACAAATGAGGTTATAGAAATAACTGAAGCCAAAACTGTGGAGACTTTGGAATATTAAGCTATACTTTTTTTAACTATGTTAATTTCTAGCCAAGGCCATTACATCCAAGTTACACACACACACACACACACACACACACATATTTTAGGGCAATTGATAAGTATATTCATCTAATGCAAGAAAAAACATTTTGATGTAGGCCTCTCATAGCAATATGTTTATGGATTCATCTCCTAGGGCAAAGGAAACTCAAGAGACAAACAGGACTACATCAAAATAAAAAGTTTCTGCACATCAAAAGAAACCATCAAGAAAACAAAAAGAGAGCCCACTGTATGGGAGAACATATTTGGTGATGATATATCTGATAAAGGGTTAATATCTAAAATACATAAGGAACTCATACAAATTAACAGAAGGAAGACAAACAATCCAATTAAATAATGGGCAAATGCCCTAGCCGTTTGGCTCAGTGGATAGTGTTGGTCCTCGGACTCAAGGGTCCTGGGTTCAATTCCAGTCAAGGGTATGTACCTCCATTGCAGGCTCGATCCCTGGCCCTGGTCAGGGTGTGTACAAGAGGCAACCAATCTCTCTCTCTCTCTCTCTCTCTCTTCCCCTCCCTTCCACTCTCTCTAAAACTCAATGAAAAAATATCCTTGGGTAAAAATTTTAAAAAAATGGGCCAAGGACCTAGACACTTCTCCAAAGTGGACATACAGATGGCCAAGAGACATATGAAAAAATGCTCGAAGTCACTGATCATCAGAGAGATGCAAATTAAAATGACAATGCAAATTAAAGTGACAAAATAAACTGATGAACAGAGTGGATCCAGAGACATGGAAGCATGGAACAGAGTGCAGAATCACAGAGGGAAGATGGGGGAGGGTGGGAGGTGGGAGGTAATTAACCAAGATGGCTACCATCAACAAATCAACAAATGGCAAGGGCTGACGAGAATGTAAAAAAAAGGGAACCCTAGTAAACTGCTGCTGGGAAGGCAGACTGGTGTTACTTTCCACAATAAAGAATTATTTTTTAAAAAATTTCAATGTGGGAAAACCACATACAGACACAAACAAGAACACTACTCCAGCCAAGCCAGTGTATTTCCTCAAAAAATTAAATATGGACCTGCCAATTGACCCAATGATCCCACTTCTAGGAAACCCAAAATACCAATCAGAAAGAATGTATGCATCCCTATGTTCATAACAGCACAATTTACAATAGCTAAAATATGGAAACAGTCCAAGTGCCCATCAGTAGACAAGTGCATAAAAAAGTTGTGGTGCGTTTGTACTATGCAGCAGTAAAAAAGAAGAATCTCTTCCCCTTTGAGACACTCTGAAATCAATAAAAACACATATTTTTTTTAATCTCAGAGGAAAGGTGGGGGTAGGAGTGGTGGGGAGAAATTAACCAGAGAACTTATATGCATATATGCATAGCCCATGGACACAAATAATAATGTGGTGAGGGCATGGGAAGGGTGGGTAGGAGGTGAGGGGGTCAATGGGAATAAAGGGGGGAGGGACATCTATAATACTTTCAACAGTAAAGATAATTTTAAAAAAAAAGAACACTGCTTCAAAGACATTAAAAACAGAATTTGAGTAAAAAGGTATGCATCTTGTTCCAAATTTTACTCACTTTCCTCATATTTAGGACAAGGTTAATAGATCCAGATTATAGGCAATAATTTGAAAAATTATCTTTGAGATTCTTATGGAAAGGAGAGTCAAAAGTAATGTACTATATAATAGCAGGATCATTCCCTTCAACCCTTATACCAATTAGTTAACATGAATAAACTGTTTATGGTCTCCTTTTATACAAATCTCCTTATGTTCTAGGCCAAACGAGTATACAAAAAAAATCACATGTGATGTATAAACCTCTAGATCCTGCTTGGTGGAAAAAATAGCTACAAAAGCAACTTAAGATAAGTAAGGAAATTTGAACATGGAATAGATATTTGATGATTTGATGATTATTATTGTTAATGTTCTTAGATATAATAATGGATAAAGTTGTTGTTATTAGGAAAATGTATTTTTATAAGTGAAAAATAACAGTGAAAAATCATAACACATACTAGTATAACTTACCCTAAATGTTTCAGATTAAAAAGTATATACAGAGAAAAAAGAAATAAAACATCTGTAGCAAATGTTAATTATTGGATTCACACAGAGGAAATATGGTTACTGTACTCCTTTTTATCCCCTCCAACTTTTCTGTATGTTTGAAATTTTTTAAAAATGTTGGAGGGTGGAGGGGAACTACAGGCAATATGAAACTACAACTTGGAGAAAATATAAAAAGACTTGGTTATTCTTAAACTCAGCTTTTCTTTGTAGCAGTTTCCTAATGATTTCTTAAGAGCAGAAATAACTCTTTGAACCTGGGTGTTTAGCATTTTTAATAAAGCTAAAGACCATAAAATAGAAATCCTCAAGAAAGAACAATCATTTGGTAAGGCTTTTGTTTTCACATACTGAAACAGCTGTAGTAGTCCAAGTGAGCTTCCTATACAGTATTTTCAAACAGTAGCTCTCACCAGCAGATCGTAACACTTTTTAGGATCCTTGACCTGTTGGAAAAACTCATGAAAGATATAAGGTTTCTCCTCAGAAAAATACCCGTAGACCCCAAATTTTGTATAGTTTCAGGAAGTTCCCCAGATAGTTTCCAAAGCCTATACCTGAGCTGAGAACCTTTGCCTACTCTTTTCTGAGCTGCTCAGAATACTAAAGACGAATAAGGTCGTTTTCGCATAAAATTTAAATATATAAGCAAATTTCACTGCATTAATAATAGCTCTTTCACAAGCATATAAATTCTGTGATAAATTTCCTGCTTCTATTTGAAAGGTAATTTTTAAAGGTGTAAAGTCGAATATGGATTACATTCCCAGTTTGCACTCTTCTGGCTGCTTTTAAATGAGCAGAAATCCCGTTTTCAAAGTGGAACAAAACGTCTTTCTACGTGCCAACTGCCATACACATACATCTTTCTGAGTATCTATCCACACCGGCCAGGCCTCCTGCCCTTTCCATTCTCCTTAACCAGCCCCGTTTGAAAAAAGTACACAGTTCCAACCTCAGAGGTACAAATCCCAGAAAGGATTGTGGGTATTGTAGTCCTCTGCACACGCGCACCAGAGGAAGGTCAAGGTAAATACCAGAGGCTGCAGGAGAATCTTGTTTAGCATACAGAAGGTCCACGCTTCTTGCTTACCCTAAGCAAGGAAATAAAATGACCGAAATAGAGCCAGAAAACGCACCTCGAACTTCAAATCCCAGTATGCTTTGCGCCACCAACCAGGGATTGCGGCTATCAGCGCCTGCGCCCAGCGCAGCCGGTAACGCGTCCGGCAAGCCGCAATCCAAACCCGTTCTGCCTCCACAGCCGCCGCCGAGGTGCTGGCGAAAAATGTGGGTTTTTGGTTACGGGTCCCTGATCTGGAAGGTGGACTTCCCCTATCAGGACAAGCTTGTCGGACGCATCACAGGCTACAGCCGGCGTTTCTGGCAAGGCAGCACAGACCACCGCGGAGTCCCGGGCAAGGTAAGCCCCTCGCCGTCCCCCAAACTTACTGTCCCCGGAGCGCTGCTCCCACCTGCTGGCCCACCACGCGGGACCCACACCCCAACGCTTCCCAGGGCCAAGCTTGTGGGTTAAGGATCATGCTGTCCCATCTGTGCTTCTTCCTGTGCCACCTGCCTCCAACCTCTCCCAAACCTAGGGTACTCCCTCCGAAGCCGCTAGAGGCTGGTTAGTTTCGGGAGCCGGCGAGAAACAGGGCACAAGCACCCAGGCTCGCACAAGGCAGACGTGCTGGCAGGGAGCCCCTATCTTGGCAACCTCTGCCCCCAAAAAAGGCGGGAAGATCAATCTTTGAGTCACCGCGGAGCTGAAATACTAAAATCAACTTGGAAATTCAGTTTTCTGGCCATTAAATTTGTTGGCATTTCTGCATTTTGGCTGACTTTCATTGGTTTGAATTTTAACGTATATGTTATTTCTGGGGTTTCTTTGTATCTATCCAAAGATTTATTGTATGACACCTAAGGTCATAGAACTCGTTTCCAAAATTACTTTGGGTTATTAAGGAACTTACTTTGATCACTTTGATTAGACGTTAAATGAGTTCCCGGTTAGTTATTTGAGTAACTCAGTATCTATTAATATATCAGCATTATTTTAATGTTTCTGGATGGTTCTTCTCTAAAGTATAAATGTGGAATGTAAGTTCTTTGATCTATTTTTCAGTCAGTCATGCACTCATCTCATATTTGTACAGAAAAAAAATAGCAGCTCACTGCTTATGGAAATCAGCCTTGTGCTGGTTGCAAACAACTAATTCGAAAGGAACACTGAATTTGAGTAACAGTGTGGATAACTTGAACACTTGTTTTAATTAACCTCCTAACTTTTGGAAGAGCACAAAAATTCTTATTGTTTATATTTTCTTTAAAATACTCTGAAAGTTGTAGTAGCTTGATTATCGCTTTTCTCCTTTTTATTTTTATTGTTGATACTGTTACAGATGTCCCATTTCCCCCCCTTTGCCGCCATCATCACACTGTTGTCTGTGTCTGTGGGTTATGCATATATGTTCTTTGGCTAATCCCTTCACCTTCTTGCATCCTGTTCCCCTTCTCCTCTCCCTTCTCCCTCTGGCAGCTGTCAGTCCGTTCCATGTATCCATGCCTGTTTCTAATTTGTCCCTCAGTTTATTTTGTTCATTAAATTCCACATATAAGTGAGATCGTATGGTATTTGTCTTTCTCTAAGTGGCTTATTTCACATAACATAATCTGATAAATACATAATAAAATACTCTGAAAGTTGTATAAGCTTGATTACAGCTTTTTTTTTTTTTAAGAAATAAATATTGGCCCCAAAGCATGTTATCTAAAATGTTAGGAATTAGATGCAGAAAGAAATTGGGGTTAATTCCAAAGAAATACTCCTGGAAAGAGGGGCCGAGTGGGGCCCATAGTAGCTTGCACCTGCTAGTAAAGAGACATAGGATTAAAATCACAAAAAGAGCCTGAGTTAGAAGTCATTCTACCTCAACTAGAGTTGGTTAATTAAGAATGTGAGCCAAAACCGGTTTGGCTCAGTGGATAGAGCGTCGGCCTGCAGACTGAAAGGTCCCAGGTTCGGTTCCGATCAAGGGCAAGTACCAAAGTTGCGGGCACATCCCCAGTAGGAGATGTGCAGGAGGCAGCTGATCGATGTTTCTAACTCTCTATCTCTCTCCCTTCCTCTCTGTAAAAAATCAATAAAATATATTTTTTTTAAAAAAAAGAATGTGACTTTAAGGCAGGTGACCTGAAAACAGGAGAGTGACTTAGAGCAAATGCATATTTATAGGCCAACAGAAACTTCATGGCCAAAGTATCACCAAAAGTGTTATAAAACAATATTTAATACTTTAAAGAACTAAGTTAAATAAAATACCTTTAGTCAGGTCTGAACACTTAAAATTGCCATTCTGAAGAGAAAAGCCTTAGCCTAGGCTCCAATTTTAAGGACCAAATATTAAATATTTACAAGTAAGCTCAGCAGGTCTTGCTCAGTAGTTGAGCGTGACTTATGAATCAGGAGGTCACAGTTTGATTCCCAGTGAGGGCACGTGCCCAAGCTGAGGGCTTGATCCACAGTGGGGGGCGTGCAGGAGGCAGCCAATCAATGATTCTCTCTCATCATTGATGTTTCTCTCTCCTTTCTCTGAAATTAATTTTAAAATATTTAATAAATAAATATTTACGAATAAGGTTTACTAGCATATTTTACTACTCTAGTCTCAACCAAATGTTTATGTTTGTTACATAACACATTGAGATATGTACACTGTGAGAAATGTCTGGTAAGAAATTGTCAAGTTAATACAACATGTTTCTTTAAAAGAAGACAGCCATAAAAGCCAGTATTTCTCTTTATATTTAAATTTACTAAAAGATAAGGCAGGAAAGTTAGGAGGGAATAATTGCAATCGTCTTTAAAACTGTAATAGTTTTACACCTACTTCTATTTAAATAACCTATCCTAGAAAACTAAAGGAGAGTCTAAGTACTAAGCATTTTTTAAAATGTATTTTCATTGATTTCAGAGCAGAAGGGAGAGATAGAAACATCAATGATGAGAGGGATTCATTGATTGGCTGCCTCCTCCACGCCCCCTACTGGGAATGGATCCCACAACCAAGGCATGTGTGCTTGACCAGAATCGAACCCCGGACCCTTCTGTCCATAGGCTGATGCTCTATCCACTGAGCCAGTACCATCTAGGGCAGTACTAAGCATTTTCTAAGTATGCTTTGCTGTTTAAAAAAAAAAAAAAACCTGGAAAAACATTATTATTCACTTCACATTTTTCCTAATAATGGACACCAACCTTGTATAAATATTAACTGTCTGACATGATACAAAAACCTATAGAAGTACCCATCAAATCAAAATAACATAATTGCTATATAGGACTATGATTTTTACAGCAATATGTACTCCTAGTAAGTCAGTCATCATTCCGTATGAAATGTAATATTTTTAAACAAATGTTAGACTTATTTCTACACTAGTGGCCCGGTGCACGGATTCATGCACATTGAAAGGAAATTAATTAGAAGAAATATTTTAATATCAGGCTCCCTCCTTTCTGGTTCCGGGGTGCCTCACCCGAGAACCACCGCTGCCAAGTCACCGCAGCTCGGCAGCTGTTGCGTTGAGCACCTGGCCCCTGGTGGTCAGTGTGTCATATGTACCAGATGGTCAGATGGTCACTTAGCCTTTTATATAGAGAGAGAGATTCTGCAAAGTGCTATTTACTTTATGAAATTGTGCTTTCTTTTGGGCTTCACTTAATTTTTTTACTAAGTTTAATCAAGCATCTTATCTATACTAATAAGGTAATATGCAAATTGGTTGGGACACCATCACAGTAACAACTGATCAGCAGGCTGTGTGCACAGCAGGCGTGGGTGGGTGGGGACTTTCAGAGTTGGGGACAGGGGTGGGGCCTCTCCCCCGGCTCCAGCCTACCTCTTTGGGGCAATGGATCGTGGGGCTCCTGCACTGTGACAGGGCACAGGCCAGGCTAGGGGGAATCCCCCCCCCCACCTCAAGTGCATGAATTTCGTGCACCAGACCACTAGTTTATATATAAAAAACTGGCCATTTCTCAATCAAATGAAAGATTTATTTAAATGTGAAAATTTTTTCACATCAGAGAAAATTTTAATTTCAAAAAAGAGGAAACATTTTAACACAAGATAATTGTGAACATTTACTAATCCCTAACTTTTCTAGAGCAGTCTTAGTACGGGTGTGTTTTTTAATATCTCCATTTTAAGTCAACATAATATGTAACTAATATATGCAAGTTGAAGGGAATGGCTTATAAAGACCAAGATAATATGGATAAAGCAGATTCTCTTAATTCACTTTAAAAGTTATAAAACATAAGAGCTTTTTAAAAAAGTGTCTAGTATGAGCAAATGAAGTTTAAATATCCATGTCAACAATAATTTGCTAATGCTTCGTTAGTTTAATTAAGAGAAAAAATATTTGTTTTACTTATTTCGTGTTTTGTTTTTACTTTTTTTTAAAAAACAGCCTGGAAGAGTTGTGACTCTTATTGAAGATCCTGGGGTATAGTATAATTTTTTTTTGTATAGTCTTTAGTTACATTAGTTGTTGAGATGTTTCTCAATTTTAAATTAAATTGTACTGACAATCGTTACAATTTCAACTGCACTAGATCTAGACTTCCTCTCTATTCATCTGTTGAAAAAAGTTGGATGCAGAATGCAAGGTACACAACAAAAACAAAACAAATGGCCTGTGGTCTCATTTATTTTTCTTAATGAGTTTGTTGACTGAGAATTTTGTGGTCCTCTTTTACATAAATAGAGCCAGCCCAACTACCATTAAGAATGAAATGGAACCCTAAAAGCTCTCCTCACATTTGCTAGGAGCCTAATACAGGATGTCCCCCCAAAAAATGTATACATACTGTAACAGCTGATAGCTCACTTTTGAAAATGAAATATATTTTAATAAACACTGCCTTTATAATTATTCAAAATGTGTATATACATTTTTGGGGTACACCATGTACTTTCAGCAAAAACCCCAGGCAGGAATTATTGCTTTCTTTATTGTCTAAATTTATCAACAGCACAACAGGTTTTTAACAGGTTTGGAGCACTAAAAAAACTTTTATTTACTCAATAGTCCTCTTTCTTAAATATTTTCAGTCATTTTATTGAGGTATAGGTTAAGTTTAATACTGTGAAATTAAAGATTTACCTATGGAAAGGACTTTGACACAAAAATCAACAGCTAGCAACAGCAGATGACTAGTGGTAAAATTATGAAATGCTTTCATAATTTATATTAGGAATGGCATCTATAATAAGGCTTTAAACTAGTAACCATAAATCTTAATTAAAGTTAATAAATGGTACTTTGTTTCTAGAGAATGTTAATTCATTCAAGAGGATGCTTAGCAACCTAAAGTTTAATAAAGTTAATAAAGGTGCTCAAAAAGATAGAAAGTCTGTATTACAAAATGTAAATGTAACATATCACAGATAATTTATTTATAGTAAAAAAATATTAGCAACTAAAATACATTATTTTTACTGACACTTTGTTAATGGGCTCTCTTGACAAAAAAGGTTGTTATGTAGTATTCTCAAAGGAGAAATTTACAAAGGATACTTGAAAGTTTAGGCAGTGAAGAGATGAACAAATAAACTAAACTGCTCAACCCTTAAGTAGCTGATTACTACAGAGCTTTTAAAACCTTATGGGAAAAAAAAAACAATATGTAAAATGTAAGTGATGCTCAGCTCCTAGCACCGCCCCACCCCCAGCACCCCAACACTCATATCCAGATAGCCTCTGTGATAGGCTTCAGAGTGGCTTTAACACTCCACGCAGCAGTTTGAAAACTACTGCCCTACCATCAGTGAAATGCTTATGAATTTAAAGCTTCAGAACCTCAGTTTTAATGACCAAATGAAGACCTGATCTTTTTTCATTCTGGTCTCATTAGATAAAAAACATATTTTCAAAAATTTAAACAAAGATAAATATCCTGGTGAGCATGGAAATAATGTTTTCAAACTGAAGAATTTAAAATGATTTCCTTTATTGTTTAGTATGTACCTCTTTGATGTACCAAGTAAACTGCATTGATTTCTAAGAGTAAACAAGAAATTTTCTTACATCACAATGTACTTTCACCCGTTTTACCATGTAAATACTAAACAATATATTCTTTTCACTTCTCAATAGGGCTGTGTATGGGGTGTTGCTTACAGACTGCCAGCAGGAAAGGAAGAAGAAGTAAAAGCGTACCTTGACTTCAGAGAGAAAGGAGGCTACAGGACCACAACAGTCATTTTTTATCCAAAAGATCCCACTACAAAACCATTCAATGTGTTGCTATATATTGGAACACATGATAATCCTAATTACCTTGGTCCTGCACCTCTGGAAGATATTGCTGAACAAATCTTTAATGCAGCTGGTCCAAGTGGAAGAAATACAGAATATCTTTTTGAACTTGCAAATTCTATTAGGAATCTTGTGCCAGAAGATGCAGATGAGCATCTTTTCTCTTTGGAAAAATTAGTAAAAGAACGTTTAGAAGGAAAACAGAACCTTGACTGCTTATAAAGACCTAATCATTGACTTCCAGAGAAGCAGAACTTTTAGTCTTCAAGAATAGTTGCACTGCACAATGACAATATGATTTGGAAACATATTTACTTGAAGATCTTATTTATTTTTAATGTTGTAGTCAAGATATCATCAAAATTTATAGTTAATTCCAAGTGTCCTGAAACACATATATATTCAAAGTATAGGGTATAGTTAAAGAAAAAATTCAATTGTATATTGAACACTTGATCATGAGAAGTTCTTTAGAAAAATACAAGAAATTTCACAGCTTGTTTTTTAATCAGAGTAAAAATAATTTTGTTCTTTCATATGACAATACTATTTTGAAGTTGTAGAGAATTAAATAAAAAACCCAATAAATATAATAAGGTATACCTTCAATATATTCCTATGCAATAATTCTGTTACCATGGTTTAAAATATACAAACTGAAAACATGTGTAATTACAAATATATAGTAACTAGAGGCCTGGTGCACAAAATTCATGCATTGGGGGGGCGGGGGGTTCCCTCAGCCCGGTCTGCACCCTCTCGCAGTCCGGGAGCCCTTGGGGGATGTCCAACTACCGGCTTAGGCCCGCTTGGACATCCCTCTCGCAGTCCGGGAGCCCTCTCTTCTTACCGCCCACCTGCTCACTGCTCCTTATCACTCGGCTTGTTGCTCCTTAGCACTGCCGTGGAGGCGGGAAAGGCTCCAGCCACCGCTGCTGCACTCCCCAGCCATGCCATGAGCCCGGCTTCTGGCTGGGCAGCGCTCCCCCTGTAGGAGCGCACTGACCACCAGGGGGCAGCTCCTGTGTTGAGCGTCTGCCTCCTGGTGGTCAGTGCACATCATGACAACCAGTCGTTCTGATCATTCCGCCATAACAGTTGCTTAGGTTTTTATTATATAGGTAAGATTTCAGCTTTGATTAGAAATTTCCTTGTTCAGTTATTAAATAATATCCCTTCCAAATTTAAGGCCCCCAAAGTTAGCATGTTTAATATAAAAATTTCCTATGCGTCTCCTTTTTTAAATAAATGCATTTTACTACATGGAAAAAAACTCAGCTAAAAAAGCACAAATTACATAATATAAATCCACTAACAATGTAGTCTGTCATTCACTTTGTATTAATCTTATAGTAAAATGTTTAAAAGATGGCTATTCTAATATTATAAATTAACAAACATATTAAGTGAAAGTCTGGTGTTTTGATTTTTTTTAAAATATATTTTATTGATTTAAGAGAAAAAGGGAGAGGGAAAAAGAGATAGTAACACCAATGATGAGAAAGAACCATTGCCCTGGCCAGCTTGGTTCATTGCATCGGCCTGCGAACTTAAGGGTCCCAGATTCTATTCCAGCCAAGGGCACATGCCTGGGTTGTGGGCTCGATCCCCAGTAGAGGCTGTGCAGGAGGCAGCCAATCAATAATTCTCTCATCATTGGTGTTTCTATCTCCCTCTCCCTTCCTCTCTGAAATCAACAAAGAAATTAAAAAAAAAAAAAGAAAACCATTGGTCAACTGCCTCCTGCACGCCACCCACTGGGGGGTTGAGCCCACAAGCCAGGCATATGCCCTTGGCTGGAATGGAACCTCAGACCTTTCAGGGCACAGGGCGATGCTCTATCTACTGAGCCAAACCAGCTAGGGCGAAAGTTGGTGTTTTTAAGGTCTTTTAGAATTATAAATTTTAAGTAAAAGAAAATGGCATTGAGTGGATTTTTTTGAAATAGTTGTTTCTACTTCTACTCCAGGCCAATCATTTGCTATACAGATTTTTTCCCCTTCTGTCTTGTCACCTAAACAAAGACTTCTGCTGAATTAGTGTTGATGGTGCCACTAAGTAGGAAATGTATAATAATAATATACATTATTAATTCATGTAGAATTAGCCTTGATTCAAACTCATCAGATTATTTCTTTCTCAATAGGATATAGTCTCTCTAAAAATCTTTCAGTATGAAAAGAATTTCAGTATCACATTAAATCTGATATGAAACAATAAAAATTCTTTTAACCCAGTCATGACTAATAGTACAGAATAAAAATAAAGCTGTCCTGTGTGATGATTGTGGGAAGGGCGGGGGGAGGAGAGTGAAGGTGCAAGATGGCTTAGAGGGTAATAAATGGTGATGGAAAAAATAAAAAATAGGCTTTCTGGAGGAGACATATAAATAAATATGAAAACAAAAAATAAATAAAGCTGCCCTACATAGTAGGAACAGTAATTCTTTTCATGTTTTTCTATTAACACTTTTCTTGGTAATTTACTCAGCTATATAGCTTTTTAAATATTTTCCAACACTTTCAATTTTAGTGTTCCAGAAGGCATTTCATTTGTCCTGTACAAGAAAAGTACTGACATTCACTAATGAATATTGCATAAGGATATACCAGGCAATTACATATGAAAGCATTTTCTCAATAACACCTCTAAACTTGTTCCCAGAGTAACCTGCATACAGTAACACATCTAATAAGTAGCAGAAATCCAGGTTTCTTTGACTCAAGCATAAGATCTTTCTACAATATATTTTAAAAACCATCTGAACTTAACCATCTTAACTACCCTGCATTTTTTTCTTTAAGAGGTAAACAAGATTAATGTTTTGTATAATGAAATAGTACATAACTTATGACATAAAGATGCTAGAGTTAATTTTGATAGATATATATAGAGATTCCAACAAATATAATGGGCCTATCCAAGATTCACATGCTGTAGCTCGCAATCACATAGGTAAATTCAAAGATCTAGCCTTTTATTTTACAAGGTTAGGTCCAAAGGAGTTTGTGACTCCCCAGAGATTCTTCTATCACTTAATACATAAGAGAATATTAAGAGGGAGAATTACTTTGTGATCGCATTTAAATGACTTTCTAGCTTTCAGTTAGAAATTAGACAAACCCTGACTAGTGTGGCTCGGTTGGGTGTTGTCCTGTGCACCAAAAGGTTGCTGGTTCAATTCCTGGTCAGGTCATGTGGCTGGGTTGCAAACTAATACCAAATAGGGCGTGTACAGGAGCAGGCGATGGATGTTCCACTCTCACATCAATGTTTCCCTCTCCCTCACCCTTCCTCACTCTCTAAAAATCAATAAAACTCTATTTTTAAAAAGAAGTTAGACAAGAATTATGTGAACATACATGTGGCATGCCATCAACACTAATTCATTTTCATTGAGATGGAGAGAAACAGAACTAAAGTGGGGAAGTTAATCAGTACTGAATTAGAGAAGCTACGGTTTGGAGCCTCCAAATCAGCAAGAGTCATAATAAAGGTACCAATTACCTAGAGCTTACTTTTGTTAACAAAACTAAGTCTTTCTTTACTGGCCTTGGAACTCACTTTTAAAACATTTTCTCTCATTGTGATCTATTCACACACAAAACTCAGGCTCTCATTTCTCGGAATACAAAGAGTTAGGTGTTATGTATTAGGGATTCAAGTGTTAGTATAAACCCTCCATTGAGAGAAGATACCTGCAATATAAATCTCTAATTGAGTGGATTTTTTAAAATAAGTGTTTCTCCTCCTACTCCAGGCCAATCTTAAATTTCCTTTTCCCACTCCCAAACAACACATTCACTGTTCAATCTACCAAGAACCATAAATAAGTACCATTTTATAAATACCACTTCCGCACATAAAAGGTTTATCAGCCCGGCCAGTGTGGCTCAGTGGTTGAGTGTCAACCCATACACAAGCGGTCACTGGTTTGATTCTCGGTCAGGGCACCTGTCCAGGTTGTGGGCTCGATCCCCCATAGAGGGCATGCAAGAGGCAGGCGATCAATGTTTCTCTGTAATGGATGTTTCTATCTCTCCCTCTCCCTTTTTCTCTAAAATCAATATCAATAAAAACATATTTATTCTAAAGTTTTTCATTTAGGGAAACAAAGATTGTTGTACTGTCAACTTCGAATACTTTAAAGCATGAATGTGACCCATTTCTTTAAGACTGATTTTAAAAGTTTGACCATTAGTTAAACAGCATGCTATTAAACAATGATTGGGTTACCAAAGAGATCGAAGAAGAAATTAAAAGCATCCTGGAATCAAGTGACAATGAAAACACAACAATCCAAAATCTATGGGACACAGTGAAAGCAGTCCTGAGGAGGAAGTTC